TTAGCATAGTTAAGTTGAATAACATATGTGAGTTCCACATTTTAGTCCCATAGGGACTGCGCTGACAAGTTTTTCTTCATATTTTGTTAAAATTTAGATGGTATAGCAAATGATAAAATTAACCGTTGAAAACAAACTTCAAGTTGGCAATATCGCAGTCGGTTATTTATTGAATAACAGAAACATTTCCTATGGGATTTTTAGAGAGGTTCTGGGAAAATAGTTTCTGGTTTTTTCTTGATTATATATGGTTTCTATTTTAATTTATCTCCATTGTAGCGTAAGGTCTATTCTATATAGTCTCACTTGCTGATGAGATATTTATTCCTCTGTTGCAGATGACATTGAAGTAGTAGCAAACATAAATATATGAATTACATATGAATCAACTTTTAATAGACTTAGTATCGTTAAAATATCATTGATAATGATAAATTTAAAAAATCGAAATTTATTTATTGAGAAAACTAAAGTTTTAGTATTTTACTCAAAATATTTGATCAAGGTAAAAAAAAAGAATGATTAATACCCATTGTTAATAATCGACAATTTCACAAAGAAGAATCAAATAACCTTACCGGTTTTGTCTCGATTACACTCATCCTTATATCTACATACATTATCTGCAGATTATTGTTGATTATACTCTGCATCATACAAAAGAAGGTCCAGATTAGTCTACGATTAGTATTGAAAAGCATCCTACTATAAACAAAGTCTATAATCATATTCGAATGTCATCATCAACTTGGTGGCATTTCACAGAATTGTTTTACACCATCAATTGGTGTGGGTGTGGGTGTGGGTCAAGATATAAAACTCACACCCACACCCACCCACACGCACACGCACACGCACACCCATACCCACACCCACACCCACACACTCACACCCACACCCACACCCACCAACACCCACACCCCACACCCACACCCACACACTCACACCCACACCCACCCACACCCACACCCACACACCCACACCCTTTTGATAATTGCAGTCGTTTTCACCAAAGTTGATAGTTAAAAAGGATTCAAGGAAAACAAAAATCGAGAAATAAAAATGAAAGATAAGGAAGGCAAATTGTTGTTATCTTCTAAAAGTAATAAACGAATCATTGCATAAAGAAAAAAAGCACAGTGTAACGCACACAATCTAACCTGAAATCGACGACAACGAGTCGCTGAAGTTTGCACAAGTTTTTGGTGAAAACTATTTGTATTCGGTGAGTTAGCTTTTAGAATGATTTGAAAAGTAAATCAAAGTGATTCTAAAGTGATATACTTCACGCAGTTGTGATCGAATCATTAAAAGGACTGAAGACAAAAATGAGATCGAAACCAATGGCTGATTTTTCTTTTGCCAAATTGATCGATAAATCTTTGATATGTAGAGCCCTAGTTGACTTACACCTCTGTTTTGCATCCATCTCCCGCTTATTTAATATCTTTATACGTCTCAATTCCGTGGTGTTGCTGAATTTTTATATATTTAGCTCCATTTTGGTCTCATTCAATTAACCATCTTAACTTATGCAAGAGTCTATAATCGAACGATCAGGAAAACACAATTAGAAATTTGACGAAAAAGTATAGAATTGATACCGCTAAACTGCTAAAGTGTAATTGTGGGTGACAAGCTACGTACCATCTAGCAATCTGTTAGACGGTAGTGAATATCTTTTGTGTATATGAATGCATTCTGGTGAGGGTTGAAGCTGCAGATCAGAGAACAATGAATCGGAGTGGGAACACAGGACTTCGCAGTTTATAACAATGAATGAGATTAAACAGGAAAGCTTCAAAATAGACAGAAATTGCGTCGTGTATGAGCAAGAGGCAATGGATCACGCGTAAATATGTCAGAATGAAATAAAAAAATTGTCCGAAAAGAGAACCATTTTTGAGAATGAGGGTGAAGATATTGACGACCACTCGAAGGTGTCACAGTGGAAGAGAAAAGAGTCTGTGCACACAGCGATGTTTAACATTAAGTAAAAAGCATCAGGCAACAGCCGTGCATCAGGATGAAGTCGAAAAGTTTCAAGGCAGGGGTTGAGTATTGAGTGTGAGTGTAGATGTAGGTATGGGTACGAGCAAGAGTCCGGATCAAATCCGACGGGCTCTACTCCCCACTCACACACCCACACACCTACACTGACACTCTTCTTTTAAACCATTTGTTTTGTAATACGCGATTGTTGATGAGTATTGAAGTAATAGCGAGAAAGTGGATATTTCTCCTTTCTCGCTCTGGGATAGGGACTATTGTGACGATTTCTGATATGAAGTATACAGTGTAGATCGAACTACACTACATCGTGTTTATTCATATACCAAAAATCATACATGGGTATGGCCAAATGTTACGGAATTTCATTTTTCTACATTGTAATACCTATATCTCCTCAGTAGTAAAAGCTAACTTTTTGAAGTTTTTATCATAGACAGAGACTATTAAGTTCTATTACTAGTAAAAATTTCATCGGCTTTTTCCTTAGCCAGAGCTAAGTTATTCCAAGAATAGTGACCGTTACGGAATTTCAAAAAATGGAATCTTTTCTGAGGGTGATGTGAGAGTTGAGCATTTTACTATGACTCGAAGTGACATATACATAACTGTTTTACGTACAAGTTATTCAGTTCTCCACAAGCTATCATAATATCACGTTATCTGCTAACAACCATAACTGCATAGAATAAAAAAGCTAAAAATACTGTTCGTTACGGAATTTCAATCGTTACGGAATTTCATGTTTCAAAGTGGAAGGTTTGAGGACCTGAAATTTTTAAATTACCATAATAAAAATATATCTTTCTCCTAATTTACGAGTAGTACAAAGATAGTCCTATCGTTCAAGTAATCAAGTTTTATGCTCACAACAAATGCACATTAAAATTGCTGACCATCATTTCGACAAAAAATGTAATTTAACACGATTCAAAATCATACTTTATTTTGAAATTAGTCAATAAATTTATTTTTTATATATATAATGAAAAAAAATGAGGATTATATCACTCATAACTAATGTATCTCATAGCTTGCAATGTGTTTGTTAATCCGTCAATAGTGTACTTTCGATTGCAGAGACAGTTTCCTTTCACTTTTGTAATTTCAAACCTTCGAATGTGAGGGTGACCGTTAGCTGGCCATCACCACATACAACATATTTTATCTCTCTTTTCATAATATCACATAAGGAGAAAAAGATAGAGAACACACAAAGAGGTGAGCATATTGCACTAAAGACAAAAGCGAGAACAATAAGATGAGGTAAGAATAGGGCGCTCATGATAGAAAGGAAAGAATACTAAGATGACGACAATAAAGAGAGAAGTATACAGACAATACGCAAAGGATGGAAGTAAGGGCGATACATATGAAAAGGATAAGGGGGTGAGGTTATTCCATGCATGAGTAATCTCTACAGTAGAAAGTAGGCAATGCCATAGGAAGTTATCAGTGCTGTCACATCGGTCCTTTGCGCACTCTCATTCTTTATTACTTTAGCAGTGAGAGTGTTGATTTGATGTTGAGCACGATGGATCTTATAAACTTATACTACCAAGCTTTCTGTTTTAAGTTCTATACCGTTTAAAAGGGCACGAACAGTCTTAAATACTGCTTGATTCTATCTTGCTCTACCCGAAATAATTGAAAAGAAAGAAGATACTACTTGACCACTTGATATTTGTGCATGTGCATATGGTTTTTACGACAGTATTTTCTTCTACTCTATGGAAACCACGTAATAGTAGGCTAAACGTTGACATGCGAAATGAAAGAGGAGATTCAAAAGAAACACATGTTTTTTCGTTTAAATGAATACGAGGAAGTAATTGCTCATCTGGTAATGAGCAAAAGAGCATTTTATTAATGTTTATGATCAATGATGAAAGGTATGATTGAAACAAAGGATATGATCGCAATGATTGCAGCCAATAAAAGAAAAGTCGTTCTACATGAATGCAAAATAGAAACCTTCATCAAAATAAAAGCACACATCATTTACATTATGACAATGGCCGAAATGTTTTAGGTAAATAGTCATTTGAATGTCAACTATATTTTATTATAGCTGAAAAGTCTGTTCGGCTAGTTATCTAATCAATCAATAGAAAACTACATGGTTCAGTTAGTTCATATAAATCTTCATATATCAATCGATAGCACTTTCAAACCACTATATATTCGCATAATTTTCAAACTTCGAAAATAGTGATTGCTTAAAAGCTTCCTAGCAGATTATTCTTTAGATATGATTTTGTACCATTTTGACTACTACTAGGAGATTTCGGTTAGAAAAAGACAATATGAGGTAAAACTATTAACATGTTTGGAATCAGCACTAAAACCTGAGTCGACCGATCAATCTTTCCGATAGTTTTCATGAACTTTTTTCCGTCAAAAAAACCTCACCTGTGGTCTCTTCCGGGTCCTAGGCAAAACATATTTTGACTCCACATGTTTTTAAACAGAGTAGTCTCAACGGCTATTTTTTCTATATTTGAGATATCAACACTTGACTTAACAAACCTATATGGTTTTCGTTGAAATCCCAGAGACACACTCAGGGAGCTTCCTTCGTAAGGTTCATTTTCTGATACCTCCATTTATTTAATTAATTAGCAATGACTTTTATTTTAAAACAAAAACAATAATTAAAATTATTTATTTTCATGAATATAAAATTGCTTATAAGATTATTTTCTAATCAAAATTACCAAAGTGCATATATCTGTTAATTTTTTCAAATGAAAAATGATTGATTAACTATCTGAATAATACATATTTATTATTGATTCTTTTCTTCTAGGATGATGCAATAGAAGTTCTAATTGACACTTAGAATTCGTTTTCATATTCTAGGCAATTGATACCGCAACAATAAAAAAACGAAATATTAATTCATCTATCTTCCTTTGTCTGTTTACAATAAAATAAGAAAGAAAAAAGGAATTATATTTTGACGATCTTCATTGATAAGAACAGAAATTATGACACTCGAACTCATTCCGAATAGTGATCTCGTATTTAAAGGTCCTTTTAATGTCGTATCAACAGCAACACTTAAATTATATAATAGTGGAAATGATCGATTAGCATATAAAATCAAAACAACAGCACCAAAACGTTATTGTGTTAAGCCCAAGAGTGGTTTTCTTGATGCACACGCATCTGCTAATATGCATGGTACAAAATGAACTCAATCATTGAAAGTTTTATTTCTTTTTCTTTTTATTAGCTATGTTACAACCAGAAGCAGCTGATAAACCTGATGATCGTACTACACATAAATTTATGGTACAATGGGTTGCTGTACCCAGTAATTATACGGACGATGTGGATAATTTTGTAAAAGAGCAAATTAAAACTAATAAATATAAAAATTTTCTTCTTCTTTCTTTTTAGTGGAAGCAAGACTTAAAAAGTCTCTGTGTACAAGATACGAAATTAAAATGTGTATTTGCTGATGAACAACCTACATCTGTTACGCCTAATGATTCACATGGACATCGTGAATTAGATGCAGTAAGTTGATAGGAAGATAAAACATATAGTCACCTGGTGTAATTCGGATCACTGGTCAAAAAAATCAATTTATCTCAGCCATTGCTCAACTATTTTACATCGGACAACAAAAATTTGCTCATCAGTAGATAGTCCAAAGTGTTTTCTACAAGTCTATATTAAAATCTAAAAAAAATTAATTTTTTTATGGAGTTGTCACAAAAATGGTGAGAGCCTTGAGAAAATGATCCGAATTACACTAGTTGGGAGAATTCGGATCACTCCCGTAAAAATCAATAGAAAATCAATAAACTTAACTTTCCCATCTTCCTATTAACTAATAATAAATTGCAATTAAATAAAACATACACCATCCGATAGCTCAAAGTCTTTTCTATGAGACCTGAAGAGATTTCATCAATTTATTGCATTATTGAAATGCAATTCTCACAATACTGAGACCTACTGAAGATAAAACTTTTTCTTTTATTTTTCATCTGGTGTAATTTGAATCACTCCAGCAATTTCAACTGGGAAAAACTTTGAAAACTTCTAGCATTTTTTGAGTAGGTTTTCAAGTGTTGTTTCCGAGACAAAAAATGTTCGTCTCACTTTGCTCTATCTTTTCATGTAACAATGGAGCAAAAATAAACTGATTTGACTCATTATCAATCGAAATAATGAAACATCAAAAAAAGAACATTTTTGTTGACTCACTCTTCCTATCTTTGGATTAAAATTTCATTTTTATGAGAAGTCTCACAGAAAAAGATTTTGACTTTTCCGAGACAAAAAAAATATTACTGCTACAAAATGATAAAAAAGAAAAAGAAAAATATCTATACTTAAGAAGCTATACCGCTATTAAACGAGGTTCACTTGAGCTCAATATCGCTACATTTAGTATTTATTCAATTTTCGAAAAATAAAAGCCAATTATTGAAAAATATTAAGAGTTCGAAAAAAACAACAAATAATATCAACAGTTTGCACATAACTAATAGAGGTGTTATCAGCATACTAGATCCAGAATGCTTTTTTCTGAATAAGATGTAAGAAAAACAGAGAAAAGTATGAATTTTGAAATGAAGGGACCTAAATAGCTGACAAAATACGCATAGCACAATGAAGACATGAGTTAGCAGGGGGATCCCGAAAGATACGCACGGCAAAAGTTGCGCACGGAAAGGGTGTGGGTGTGAGTGTGGGTGTGGGTGTGAGTGTGGGTGTGGGTGTGGGTGGGTGCACTCTAAAAAAAATCGGTTCTTTACTCAACCCCCAAAAAAGGTTCTGGAGATTTCGAAAAGCATCCAAATGTGTCAAAAGTCGCAAAAAAAGGATAAAAAAATCTACGAAACCTTTAAAGGTTCTTTCGGTGTACCCAGAATAAGAACCTTTTCCCGCGAAACCTTTTTTT